ACAATTTCATCTCCTGTTATTGTTTACGCCTAAAGCCGTGATTGTCAGGGAGGTGTGGCATGTAAGAAGGGAGACATTTTCTTTGGTGATTCGTGCGGAGATTGTTGCAAAAAAAAAATTCCACTTGACAATTTGTTTACTGGGGCCATTTCATTGGAAGCTCTGCATTAATGGACCCCCCAACACGCCGCTTTGACTGACTGACTAATCGAGCGAAATTCAAAAGTATGTATATTGCTCTATCTTAGCCGGCGATAGATTCTTATTTAAACAGAAAGTCTTCATTGTTATCTTTCTAAAACTACAGACCATCCACTGATGCGCTGTGGAGACGTGCGCGCCAGGGGCCTCGGATATTTGGCGCACGTCTCCACTGCGCACAGCGGCTTGCAATACGTTGAAACATCCCCGCCCAGGTCGCGTGCGCAATAATCCGCGCGAACAGCGGCGTCTCATCGGCGCGCAGCAGCCTCGCAGAGATGCAAACAGCAAACTGTGCGGCAGACAATCATGTATCACTGTCTCATCTGGTTTCCTTGAGAATCGGCGATTTTGGTGGTGCTAATGGGTGCCTCATCTTTAAAAAAATATAAAAGACTGAGTGCGGCGTAGGCTGTGATTGGAAGACACAAAGGTCAATCCTCGCGCGCCTCGGCATCATTGGCGATCACGTCAAGCAGCCTTATGCCTATACTATTAAAGTAGACATATTCCTCTAAAACTCGAGTTAGCTTGAGGCCTGTACGGTTGGGAATGGCTGGGCGTAAAGCGTGACACAGCCGTATCGATAATGATTCCGTATCTACCTCTCAACTTGGAAGAAAATGTAACCTCGGAAAATGTGATTTTGCGAGGGAAACCTTGAAAATTTGTACACAATATATAAGATAGAAGCGAGGAATATTCAGCACAGGCATCACGTCGTGTCAATCCAGGATATATTACCGTAATGTCGACAGGTGGAGCATAGTCGTCTCAGGACATTTGTCTCCTATACCGGGATTTCGGGATTTCGATTCACCAGCTGGGGAACTTATTTTACCACTTTTTTCCTCTTTATTCCCTTTATCCTACTCTTTAGTATGTATTAGTTTCCCCTCCGGGAGTTTTCAGCCGAGCTGTCTTACTTTAATAGTATAAGATTTATATTTCTAATTTATTAATTTATTAAATCTTATTACTTTTTTTTAATTATATTATTTTTTATTCTTAATGTCTTTTTATTTTATTGATTTCTTATTATTTGGGCATGGGGATGGGGAGGCATGCGAATGGGGATGGGAATGGCATGCGATGGTATGGGATGGGATGGGCATGCATGGGATGGATGGCATGGCATGGGAGTGCGATGAGATGGCATGGTATGGCATGCATGGGTGGCATGACATGGGATGTCATGGGAATGCACTGGAATGGCTAGCGGATGCGGATGAGGATGGGATGGATGGAGATGGGTTGGGATGTGGAATGTATAGTGGGATGGCGATGGCCATGGCAGTGGCAATGGGATGGATGGATGGATGCATGGATAGATATGACAGTTAGATTTTTTGGGTATTTTCCTTTCAACCAAAGCGGTTACCAACTGAGTAACGCCACTGATTTCCCCGGGCAACGCCGGGTATCCGCTAGTAGCTATAATTATAATATACGCTACGCCTGTCGTTTGAAAATATGGAGGCTGGCTATTGTAGTCAGATACATTCGTCTTCATGCAGCCCATTACGTGGTATGGTTGCCTAGAATAGAAAATAATAAATAATAAATAAGACTGCTTATAACTAACTTGCAATATACAACTTGTAAGATATAACTACTAAATTGTATATAACTAAGTAATGTACATTAGTTTAACTAGTTTGTTAGATTTTATATTCTAGTTCTGTGGGAATATTAAGACCTCTCATTTTTTTTCTATATCAATACTGTTATGGGTACAAGACTTAGTGAACTCTTTATATTTCCTGACATCTCCCGTAGGCTGTCCGTACGTTGGCACATCACAACAACTCTACACATCAACTCTACACAACGACTCTACATATCAACTCTACACAACAACCTTACACATCAACTTGCTCACAACAACTCTAGCCGCAACAACATCTTACACACACAACTTCTGCCACATCAACTCTACACATCCAACTGCTACACACAACAACTCTACACAACAACTCTACACACACAACTCTACACAACAACTCTCACAACAAAGCTCGCTACACATCATCTCTACACATCAACTCCTACAACAACATCTCTCAAGCACATCAGACTTCTACAGCATCAACTCTACACATCAACTCGGCACACAACAACTATACACCAACAACTCTACACAACAACTTCTACTAGCATCAACTCTACACATCATCTCTACACAAACAAGCTCTACACAACACCTCGCAAAACTCTACACATCCATCCTTAGCACATCATCACCTC